GGCGTTACTAAGGAGGTTAGTATGACTGTGGAGGAGAGTAATAAACTAAGGGAGAGCTTAGGCTTAAAGAAGCTCACTCTTACCAGCCAGGATGATGTAATACGAACCATAACATCATCATCATCATGACGGTCATATAGTAGTATCATAATGATGATAGGCACCTGAAGGGAGTTCGGATAATCCTAGATTATTAGTAGAAGAAGAAGAGGGAGAAGTATACAATGCTAAGGATGCTATAAGGAAAAGGCGTGATAAAAGGGTATTATCATTCTCTACATTGCCCCTTTTCATTATTATCAATATAGATGCATGAAGAGCTAATCACTGGTAATACATTAGGTGACAAGGAGAAAGAGGAGGAAGAGGAGTCAGCGGCAGATTGGGTGGAACGAAGTAATAATAATAGTTGATTATGATGATGTATATCCTCCTACCAAGATGATAAATTATTATTAGATAGACATAAGGTCTCGTCTACTACTGCTGCTGCTGGTGCATCATCATCATCATCATACCAGGCAGTTAGAGGAGAAGGGATGAGTGTAAGGAACAAGAGACAGCGTGGTATTGAGGAGGAGAAAAGTAAACAACAAGAAGAAGAAGAAGGAAGAGGTGGTGAAGTACGTCTAAAAGTGGCACATAATATTGAGGATCTAAGGGAAGGTAGTAGTAGTAGAAAATACTAGTATTAATATAAGTACATACTTGATAGGTGAGACTATATTAACCATGAGGGATAAGCCTATATTGGCATGTGGTACCGATGAAGAAGAAGAGGATGATGATGATTATGATGAAGTTGTAGTACACTAAGGGAGTATATACCTATTTACATGTGGTAATAGGTATTAGAGGAGGCAGGGGGGCCACAAGGGTTAGCACAGAGGGAAAAGGATGATTTATGGAGGAAGGAAAAACATAGGAGTAATGATAGTATTCATATACTCTATAATAATAGTAATACTAGATGCATGGGATCCTACACTACACTGGGATGAAGAGGAGGAGGGTAATGATGATCTATCTGGTGATAATATATTAGATAAGTAATAACTACTACTACTATAATCATACCTCTGCTGCTGCTGTTGCTGCTTTTGGTACTATGATAGGTATACAACAGTAGAGGAGAGGGCAGCAGTAGATGCTAGACGTAGAGGGTTTACTCTAGCTCTTAGTAATGATGGGCTAGAACAGAACATTACAGCAGAGTTAACACAGGATGTAGAGGGTAGATTAAAGGAAATAATGGAGGAGAACAAGAGACGATCTATGATGCAATCTGGTAATAAATATCATACAATAGTACTCCTTTGTAGTGGTAGTATTATCAACTAGTTGCTGGTGGTAATATTATACGTATACAATCTGATATTATGAACACTAATGAGGCTGCTAAATTCTTGAAGAGGAGGAACAAGGAGGTATTACTCATACAGTAACTATTACTTTAATCCTGTGTATTAGGCTAGGAAGGGTGCTAGACTACGTCGTCGTAGTCGTAATAATAAAGAGGAGGCCAGTGCCAGTGTCAGTGATGGTGGTGATGATGATATAGTGTACTTGCCGACTTATCACTCCTCTAACACTATTATGTTCATCTTATAGGATACCTCCTCCTAAGAGAACTATGGATAATGATGATGATCTACAGGATGGTGAGGAGGATCAAGAGTTATATCGACAGTTAGAGAGGCAGAGGATGGTGGAGCAAAAGGTGAGTAGCAACAACAACAACAACAACAAGAGCAGTATGAGTAGTAGTAGTAGGATGTTAGTAATCTAGTAAGAGTGTTCTCTGTTCTATCCTACTGCATGGCTGTATAGGCTTGTTATTGGAGTATATCTGCTCAATAGGTCAAAGCACGCTCACTAGTGAAGGAGGAACCAATAGAGAGTAGTAGTGGTAGTAGGGATCAGGATGATGATGGTGGTGGTATTGCTGGTAATAATGTTATCGACTTGGATACTGGTGCATCCTATGTACATGACCATATGGATACTAATAATGATGTAGTAATACGACAACACTACTAGTACTCATCAATATTGAGAGGATAGGTAAAGGATGAGAATATGGGAGCTGATGGTGATGATGATAATGATGCTCTAGAAAAGCAGGAGGAGGAGGAGAATACAGATAGGGATAGGGTTAGTAGGGATAATAATGGTAATATTAATTGGTATACTAGCAACATATTAGTGATGATGATATAGGTGATGTTGGTAGAATGAGTAGAGCTAGCGAATTCTGTGCATCTATACAAACACCAGTAGAGTTGAAGCAGGCTGAGAAGGATGAGGAGTTTGCAGCTCAACGAGCGTATTCACTATTACTATCACTATTTGGTAGTAATATTAGTGATGTAGATATCGAGAGTCGCGTAGGAGGATGCTAAAAGGAGGAACTGCTAGGAGGGGTATAGGAGGAGAAGGAAAGGAGTAATACAAGAAGGGAGCTATGGCTGTATATGGCTATAGTAGTAGTAGTATTCATAGTACTAGGTCTGATGAACAACAACAAGATGACGATGATGATGATAATATGGAGTTATCATCTACTGAGGATTTGAAAGATTCACATCAGGATGATGAGGAAGAGGAAGAGGTGATGATGATAAGTCGACGAATATGAGTATACCTCTATGTAGTTTGAGGCTAGAGATGAAGCTATGCAAGATCAAAAGGTTGATGATGGTGCAGCATGTGCTATACGATATTTTGTTCAGAGAGGTAATAATTAATAATAATACAGTATATATATGATGCTAGTAGTAGTTAGTAGCTTTTTGTAGGTATGATGTCTGGTGATCAGGATTCCTTCAATTCATAGTAGGTCGTTATTAGTATTGATACTAATGATATGAGTAGTATGTTATTAGTGATCCTGGTAAACGTCCTATGACTAGTGAAGAAGCTGAGTTGAGGATAGATCATAGAGATGAATTTGGTAGAATACAGAGTGCTAAGGAGGCATTCCGGTAATAATAATAATACTACTACGATGATAATAATAATGATATAGGACTATGTCTTGGAGATTTCATGGTAAGGGTCCTCATTGGAAGAATGTTGAGAGGAGAGTTAATAGGATACAGAATGATATTAAACGTAGACAAGAGGTAGTAATAGTAATAATAATAGTAATGCTCGAGATTACCTTTACTTTTATAGACATCACAAGTGGCACCAACATTAAGAGCATTAGAGAGAGTACAGAAGAATGAGGGCAACTCGTAAGAAGAATGACTACTACCATACTACTCCTACTACTTGTCAGTATATGCTACTCAGTGGCGGTACTGCTACTG